GCTGCGTGAGTCCACTACTCCATATGATTCTCCATGGCTGTCGCAAGAGTGACAGAGGGAAAAGAATCTTCCTTATAACAACGCAAAATAATGAGAAACTGTGGCAATAGCGTAAGATTATGCTTAGTCGTGAACTTTGATAGGCTTTAATTAATGAATGCTTGAATTGAAAATTTTAAATGGTTTCATACAAACTAATCGTAAACAAAAAAGGTAGTGAATTTTTTTTTAATTTTACAGCACCGTACACGCGCAGTAATAACTGAAAATTCACCGTCAATCCCGATTACTGTAGGGAGCTAACAACTCTGCGTGATATAATGCTACAAGTATGTACACTAACACTAATCCCATGTCAGAGATAAAAAATTCATAAGAAATCAGACCCAAAAATCAACAATTTGTGTCATGGAAAAAATATTAATTCCGGTTGGAATAAGAACCTAGGATTCTTGACACATTATTAGATGGAAATTGTGGTCACTAAACCACATGATCGTTACAAACAAGTTAGGCAAACCAAGAAAATGTTACATTACAACTTATATACCTATTAAACCTCAAGGCAGCTTGTTCTAAGTAAGTTCAGCTCAGCGCATACACGGATCTTGCGCACGCTTTCTTTCGCTTCGGAGGCCTGAGAAAAGCTAGCAAAAAGGAATGCACCGGAGTGACGTCGCGGCCACGGAGGCTGGAATGTGCCCGGGCCCTCCGCCGCCCCTCGCAATCCGGACGCGGCTTTTAAACCGCTCCAACGTGTTTGCGGAGTTGTTTGCACATTTTTTTACATTCCCGTCCTTTTATTAAGCTTTTATATTATATTCAATTTATAATTCTAGTCTAGCAGGGTGGTTAAATCTAATCCTGTCTTACGGATGGAGCGTGTGGCAATACTTCTTTTTATATTTTAAGCAAGCCTCTAAGTTCATATTCTTTACACATACAAACTCATTTTCAAATTATTATTTTATCCTTGTTTATTTTTTGTTGTTATTTAATTGTTGTTTGTGTATATCATTTTACAAAAAGAATGAAAGACGGTTGCTAACACGCACGGCAAGCGTGGCAATTGTGGCAAATATACTTCGCCCTTTGAGGCAATCTATGATCTACGTGGTAGAGCCATGCTGCAGTTATATTAATAGTATAGTTGTAGCACGAATGGGTCGGCTCGACCGAGGAAGGACCACGCTCTCACAGAATACCAGCGTGAAATAGTAGCTTAATGCTGCTGTATTTCGTATGGTGAGTGTAGAGAACCGGAGACCCTTTTTACTGAAAATGAGGCATTCCATCTCAGTCCTCACGGGTGACAACGCATCTGCATTTTGATTTGTAATGGAAGATAGATGTAGATGTCTATGGGCCGCAGCAACCACTTACCATCAGGTGGACTGTATGCTCGTTTGTCAGCCTATTCTATAAAAAAAGCAGTGGAATTTGGCTAAACTTTAAGGAAATAGATGAAAGTTAACTTACTTGACAAAAGCCCGATATTACTACTAAGCGAAATATATCTAGCAAAATTCCATTAACCAAAAAAGTTGACAAAGAAATTCTCATTAATTTAAAATGTTAGCTAAGATTTGGCAGACGACGCTTTTAAAAGTTTCTGAATTTGAATAATTGATAAATACATCGATTAAATATTTTAAAAAGTGCGAACCAAAACCGACGCTATGAAATGGATAAGTGAAAGAAAGCAAATCGATTTCACTTTCAAAACTAAATTAACTTTCTCCAGTGACATGTCTTATGTAATTTTAAAAAGATAAAGCATTCATTACTACTGCATTCACATCTAACATTTTTACGCAAAGGTCAAAATTAACTGATCTGTCTTCCTTTTGTCAAATATAAAACCCAAAGCAAATTTATTGAGGAGAGAAGGAGAGAATGTATTTATTAATGAAAACTCGATTTATTTGAAGGCTTGAACCTGATCAACTTTTATATAGTCGCTATATGTTTGTCCGGAACAACAAGCGAAACTTTTAAAAAAAGTTTTTGGTATTGATTGCCTCGTGTACAGTGAATGGTCGAGGTACAAAATACGTATAGTATTACATCAAATGAAATACTTCTGCGGCGGCATGCGGGCAAACTGAAACTGTGCACGCTCTGGAATCCACAAAACCATATTATGCCAAACGTTGTAACGTCCTTTGTTTTAGCTTCATCTCGATTGCAACCTTACGACGTACGTGATTAGATAAATATTGGCAGAAGCAGAAGAGCTTCCATGTTAGGCTTAAAGCGCTTTTTGTTAGGTCTTCAAGGAAATTCTGCGACTTCAATTTTAAACATCAGCCGGATAAGTGCTTTTAACTCATCGGAATACTTGTATTTCTTCTCTTCAGGTTTAAGTATAATTACAGTTTTTATTCGACAGAAAATGCTTTCGTAAATGTGCGATTATAATTAAGAGAATATTTTAACTAATACCATTTGTAAATAAATAAAAAATGTTGAAACATTTTGTTCTTACGGGCTCGAAATAAAGAATTGTGAATGGAATCGATCGGAACACAATTTGAAATTAAAGCTGTAGCATACTCGTACATGTGCCGCTTGAACAATGAAAGCTGACGGGTAGGTCGTGATCCTTACTTTCATGATCATACAGTACCCCTTTTCAAATATTATACTTTCCTTGGACAGAATGATTTTATAACATAACTAAAATACGTGAGAATATTTAAAATTATTATTATTTATGAATCTATCGAGGCCAAATATTAATCTCAGTGAGAGGAAAACCTGATTTCTTTCAGTAAATTGACAAACGCAGGTGGCTCACTCACGGTCATACTTTTTTGGTAATCGGGGAAGCTCATATTCAGAAATTATAATATACTTGAATACCAAATCTTTTTAAAACTCCTAAGATTTTTTTAGAAAATAAATCTTTTAAGATTATATATGTTAAATCCCGGTTTTGATACTGTGTAGGTAGGTATTCTTTCAATTTTAAACCATCGTAATAATGAATGGAGTAAATTTAAACCATCATAATATAAAATTAGACATAGAATTATGCAGACAAAAACGGGAGATGATTAAAAAACATATTATAATCTTATCAAATAAGTAAATCAATTAAAAAATGCGATTCTGTTCTAAATGTTTCATATTCATAACTTATGTATGATAAAGTCACATTTTGTTGTTAAAAATGATAGATTTTAAAATATAACACAGAATCGCTATTATATGTAAGTAATATTCTTATATAAGCAATAATAATAATAATATTTTAAAATAACTTTTTAATGCAAGTATTCAGGTTCAGGTATCAAAACTGCATTACGCCATGTGCAAAGAATGAACAGGTGCGACAGAAATGCGGTGGAGGGCGGTTGAGCGCAAGGTGTACTTTCACGACTTGAAACCAGCAAGGATTCGCAGAGTTATTTATATATATAGTAGGTGTACCCCGCGACTTCACCCGTGTGTTATTTGTAGTTTAAATTTTTTTGCATCTAGCCCTTCTAAAATAAAAGTAGCCTAGGTTACTCCATATAACATGAGCTATCTGAAAGTCCCGTCAAAGTCGGGCCAGCCATTTCAGAGATCAGCCGAATTGATCAGCAAAATTTTAAAAATTGTGTTTTTGATATAAGTACTGTACTTACTTTCATATGCATTTAATAGAAAGCTGTTATTTTGATATTATTTGTATTGATATAGATATTTTATATAGATTTACGCTCCACTGGAATGCAATGAAAATAAGTTTCTCTAACATCCGCGTAACCTATTGCGAAATTAACATAAGTCTGCATAATTTTGCAATAGCCCCTAATCACCCGCGAACAAGTTTTCAAGGTGTGATAAGAAGAAATCCTTGTGTGAGTGTTTTTTATTTAAAAAACATGAATTCTTCTACTTTGCTCTAGTTTTGTCTTTGTTCGCATTTCAAGTTACAGCTAAAGGCTTTTTTTGTAAAATTTCAAAAAATATTTGCATGATTATAAATTACATATATAAAATTGAAGTGGCAAACGAAATTACTGTCCAACTTAGAGTACCTAACTATAGTGTATTATCTATGGTACCTAAATAACTCATGCAGCCCATAGACACCTTCAACCAACATTAAACAAAGAAGGTTGCAGACGCATTGTCACCTCTGTAGACTAAAATGGACCACTTTAGACCGGTGCAAGCATTGCGATTTGAGGATAGATATAGATAAGGGTGACACCTATCCAGACGTAGTCCTAGGCAGAAAAGGTACTGTACTGTAATGAGGCTCAAAAGGGCTAGAACCCAGAGCCCTAAAGCCAGTTAATAAAAAAAACAAAACGACGGGTTGCACTCCGGGCGTGCCGGCAGAAGTGAAAACTTGAATATTAACGTTGTGCATTTTTGATAGTTTGGAATGGTTAGGGAATAATTTTGCACGAATTGCTTTAATTATCACTATAAAAGTACTATCGTTTATATGGTAGAATACAATATTTATTTATTGTGCTATCGTACACAAACATGACAATTGATATTACATTAAAAAATTTATTTCTCAGAAAAATCAACTTCCATCCATAATTTCGACGACGTCTTATACAAATTTTCGATCAGGTCACGTGTCCTGACGCGAGTTTAACATTTTTTACCCATTAAAAAAAGTGTACAACGCCGCTAAAGAAGTTTTCACTTCAAAAAATGTACTGTAATGTAATATTGTTCCGTAGTTTTTATCATAAAATTTTGATTTTTACGTCGGATAATATATTTTCTTTGGATTTTTACGAGGCATATCCTTAAAAAAGTTTATCTAGTTATTTCTTTATGACTATATCATCACGTTGTCAGATGAAGTCTCCAAAATTAAAGCCCAGGCACTTACAGACAGTTCTAATTCTCAGATAAATAGGTAATTCAAATGATTAATGTTAGTTTTTTTGTTTCTTTAGTTTAGAAAACCTTTTTTATGTTCAATCAAGGCGGAACAGTTATTTACCTCATCTTAATTAAAAAAAATAGAATTTTCTTACCTTCCCAAAAACTTCTATCGAATGATGATTTTCTAGTTTTCATTTCATTTTTGTTTACGCTTTTCCTGAAACAAAAAGGATATTATTATTATTATTAAAAGGATATAATATGTTATTATTAACTTTGCATATATTTAACTATTATAAATTTCCATTGCAAAACACGGCTATTTTATACGCGAGGCAGAACTGCAGCTATATTATAGCTATAGCACGAATAAGTTAATATTATAATTAATTCTGTGTTTCATATAGTGAGTGTAGAGAAGACACTTTTTACAAGTAACGGGTTAGGACCATGCTCTAATAGACTACCAGCATAAAACAGCAGAGTAATATCAGAGTGTTTCGTAATTTGAATGACCTTTTTAATGGTAACTAGGCAGTCTTCTATCTTAGTTCTTAGAGGTGATAACGCATCTACATTTTGGTTCTTAATCGAGGATAAATTTGGGTTTCTTTAGGTCACAGCATCCGTTCTAAAAAAAGTTTAAACTGTTATTGAAAATTTTTTAATTCTAATTTACGACGCTAAACACATATACCTATGCACGATGAAAAGAACACAGTAAAAAAATAACAAACATACATAGAAATCTGCATGTCTCAGAAAGAAATATTTCGCGCGTTGGAACAGCGCAGAAAGTACTTCTTAGCTTCAAAACTCACTTAGATTCAATCAAAACCCTTTGCCCAGCTGTGGGACGTACGTGGGTTGTAACTAATCTGTGTGTTTATATGCATCCTACGTACCTGATCTTGATATCTTTGTTTTATCATTTACAACTTCATGTAAGTGAAATGCAGATGTAGTAAATATTTGAAACAATAAATGCGTATCTTTTCATTGAAGAAATCAAAATAGCCCTGCTTTTTTTTTTTAAATCTACATTCGTATTCCTTGCCTAGGCCTGTAGTTTAATAAGTGATGTGTGGAGAAATAAACAGATGAACAAACACACGAAAATTCTATGTAACAACGTGTTATATCATTTGGGTTTATCTACGAAGCTCTCACGACTTTATTTGTATCTTTTTTTAAGTATGCACTTATTGGAAGCATATTAGAGAGAAAAACTTAATTAATTATGTCTAAATTAAACAAAGAACCTTAACTCAAAAGCCAGCTGATGTTATAAATATAAAAACAACAAAAATACGCAAAAGAAACCCACAGATATCTTATATATACCTTACCCACCGGAAGAAAGGAAGTGTTAGTAATGACACAGGTGCCACCGATAGCACGAAACTCATTTATACTCAATTAAAATTGAAAAAATAATGTAATGTCGCATTTTTATATCTATATAGTTGTTCGATATCTGAGTGTCATAAACTGTGACTAAAATACCAAAGAAATGTCATCACTCCAATAGAAGACAGTGTAACCACCTCGTATAATATTTTGACTGTAAAATTCTCTGATTGGAGCCCGTAAACGGAATCACAGATATAAGACAGGTTTTGCAATAGCCAATTGTCTACAAAGCGTGGCGATATTGGAAAACACTCATTACAAAAGAGATCATTTTCAACATTTATTGTGATAGTTCTTATATACCAATTGTTATTTTTTAAACACTAGCAATAATATTTACATTACTAATATTCACTTTACCCACTCCCGGTAAACTTAAAATGCTTGTGTTAGGAGTGGTTTATTACAGCAGTCGAATGGTGGATTCGAACCCACGATCTTTTGAGTTCGCGATCCACGCCTTAACATTAGGCGTGGATCGCGAATATACATATGTATGTACATATCTATTATGTTTTTTCAATTAAATTGATACATGACCTTGTATTATGTTCTTTATAGTCCATGTAAAATACTACAAATGCCGTGGTATTATATTAGTATAATATAATTGTAGGTACCGTATATTATTTGTATTTGTCTCGCATAAGGTACACGAGGGTAATATTGACCATATTACCACTTAAGCTTTGCCGCCCTATAAAAAAAACCGGGAGGAGGACAGAGACAAAAACACAAAGTCGTATACTATAACTAATATATTACGAAAAATATTGCAAACAAGCTTTGGTACTAATTATGAACACTTCGAAATATTACCTCAAAAAACTAACTGCACTACACCATACTAAAATTGCCTAAATATTTAAAAAAAATATTAACAATGCTATAAACATTACTAATATTCCCCTTAACCAATCGTGTTAAGCTTAAATTGCTTGTGTTACGAGTGGTTCACGCCAGTAGTCGAATGGTGGATTCGAACCCACGACCTTTTTAAGTTTACGGTCCGCGCCCTGCTATTAGGCTACTGTCGCTTCAAGTTACTATAACGTCAAGTAAAAATGGCGTTGATAAAGCAGCACCCTTTTGACTCTTTATTACTCGATTGACCGATGAAGAGCTATCGTATCACAAAGTCATCTATCAAGTCACTTAACATCAGGTGAGCCGCATGCTCGTTTGCCCCCTCTTCTATAAAAAAAAATCTATGTACACAAGGCTGCAGTTTTAGAGTTATAAGAAAGTGACCATATTAACCGGATGACCTTATTACCCTCACGAACTATACTATTATTTCGTTCTCGCATATTTCCTTTCTCTCGCATATTATTCCTATGATGTTTTATTTATTGCTGTCTAAGACGTTTTTTTATCCTGCTTTGTGGCATTCCTTGGGGAGGCCTATGTTCAGCAGTGGACTTGTGAAGGACTGTACTGATGAAGACATTTTTACGTGTAATTAAAATTAACAAAATTGGTGGAAAAGTGTCTACATCATCTCAATTACGTTTGGTGAATTTATTGTATCAATGTGCATCTATTATGCAGCATATTTTTATACATATATATACGATACGAAGAAATGTTTATTTTTTAATTAATATATATATATATATATATATATTTAAAAGTTAATAAAATTTTAAAACTTAGTTTAACCATGTTTTTACAAAATTTTTACTAAATATCCACTATTGAAACGTTCCAGATAGGTTATTAAAGTCCTACTAAATCATTTTGAAGGCAGTATCGTGCTTTGAATCCTAATCTCGCAGCGAGAATAGCGTTTAAGTGACCAATTCAAGTAATAATGCTAATTAAAGGCAGTTGGTAGCGTACCCGCCATCATCCACCACCATACCATTATCGATACTTAAATTACCACTCTCTCATTCAACATTTTGGATTAAACAGTCTCATATTATGCCTATTTTGCTTCTCTTTATTCATTGACCCGGTGCTTTTCTAAAGTACTCAATGAACCTTTATTAATTGTTGACATTTTTTTATTTTAGTCATTGTACTCATAAATATTGTTATTTCATTATTTTATAGTTTTAAGATTTGCATGCTATTAATAATGGCTGAATAAGCGGATGTCTAATTAATATGACCATCTTCAGTGTACTTTAACCAAGCGCAAATAAATATTTCATTTCACCGCATATTCCAAAAGATTTTGAAAACTAAACATAAAATGTATATGAAAATGAACAAAGAAAATATATTAATTATACATTTATAAACACATACACACACATATATACATTCATTTAAACATACATGTATATATGACATATAAAACAGATAGATAAACACTTAGAAATTTACATCACATATCAAATAATGGAAATAATGTAACAAATTATTGGAATAATACAAAAAAACAAAAACAAAATTAAGCTTGAAAACAGTCTAGAAGACAGTCAGAGAAAGTATTTCTTAAAAGAGATTAGACGTTCTATATTGATGTTCTTATAGAAGTTGGAAGGTCGTTCCAAAGCCATTATTAGACATGCTGCAGCTATATGTGAGACATAGCAGTTTAATGCTACTGGGTTTCGTGTAGTAAATGTAGAGAGCTAAGTTGCTAAATGTAAGACCTTTTTATAATAAACGAAGCATTCCATCTTTGAGGGGTGACAGCGCATTAGCATTTTGATTCTTAATCGAGATTAAAAATGTGGATGTTTATGGACCACAGCATCCACTTTCATGAGGACACGGACTGCATATTATAGGTTAGTGGATGTTCTTACATCTCCACTACCTCTACACAGTATTTTAATCATATATAACACATAACAAGGAAGAAATATAATAATTTCTTAAATTTACGAACACTACACATTGAATAAAACTATTATTTACAGATTTTATCGCGTTTAATTACTACTTTAATTTATTTTTATTATCCCGACGTTTCGGGTACTTTACAGCACCCATAGGTCACGGGGGGGGGCTGAGATGTTTGATCGACCCAATGTCATCGTTAGTCCGGCTACCTTTAGTTTTTAAATATTAATTTTTGGTCCGATTTACGCAAAACGAGCTTATAGTATACTATTATATATACTTATAGTATATACTTAATTGATATATTAATTTGAAAAATATTACGAAAATAATTTAAGCAATATATACCAAGGAAGAGGATAAAATCAAAGAAATGGTGTAATGTTCTGTTATGGAGATATTTGATTCATGTACTACCTACTATACTACCGAGTGATTTCCGCATAGACTTACGTCAGTTAAGTTATGAGGGGAGGCCTGTGCCCAGCAGTGGGACGTATATAGGCTGTCACTTTACTTTACTTTTTACATCAGTTAATACTAAATCTATGAATTTACGGATTTCAGACGTAATCACACTGTACATAACCGAATATAGCAATAATTACAGACATGCAAAAGCAATATTTAACAAAGCATGTTTAGCATAATTCGGCCTGTACCACAAAATAAGCTTACAGTGTTTTAAAAACTCAGTGAGTTACTTGATCATGGATTTAACTTTATAAAAAAAACCAGGCGATATTTTTATTTCTATTCGCAAAGATGAAATATTTTATATACTATATTGTTTTCTTTTTTTTTCTTAAAAGTGCTACTAGCTAAAATGCTATCAGCATTTTTATTTAAAAAAATTTAATGAAAGGAATCTGCAGTAAAATATTTTTACTTACTGTAAATTCAGTGTAAAAAGCTCATAACCATATAAATTTTTATTCTTATGCGGGTTCGGAACCAACAGCAGCCCAGATACCTGCACCGGAACTAAATCTGGGACGTTGAATG